TACCAAACTAGGACCGGGGAGCTGTTTCAGTAGTCAAGTGTCCCTGAATTCAATCCATGGTCTCCCCCAAAAGAGAATATATTATAGATAAAACTTAGGCCCCTGATCTCCACACCTTGCTGTTCGTGTGTTTCCCACTTCCCTCAAGAACACCAATCTTAACTTGAGGTTTACAATGTGCTTGTTTAAATGTCATTTCATATTCATATATTGCTTTATTTTGGGGAGAAAACATATGTGGGTAGGAACATACTCAATACATTGGAATTGTACATCTAAAAGTGGTTAAACTGGTAAGCTTTTTATGTATGTTAACAATTAAAAAAATCAAGAAAACAAACCAATGTAAATGGATTTTCTGTGAGGCATTTTGTGACAACTTTCACATTCAGCCTTCTCAGCCTGAATTATTCTTTCTTTAGTACCCTTTGTTTACCTGCTACAGACTACTGTCACTCACCACCCTTGATGGACATATGTTACACATGGCTTGAAGTCTTGAATAAGGAGCCCCTTGACCACAAAAATCCAGACAGCTTTTTTGGGATATTAAGCTAGTGAGGATAATATGTGCTCAATGTCTGTGGAAGGAAGGAAGGAAGGAAGGAAGGAAGGAAGGAAGGAAGGAAGGAAGGAAGGAAGGGAGGGAGGGAGGGAGGGAATAAGGAGGCTGAAATTGAGGAAAAAGAAGTCATTTAAAACTAAACACTCATAGGCTTCTCAAAATGTGAGCAATGAAGGTCACACAGGGTGGTAGTAAAAGAAGGATGAGAAGCACCTTTGAGGGAACCTGTGGATRAGTGAGGAGGAGGATGGTGGCCCTGGAGGTGAACTGGCAACATAGGAAGTATCAGCATGAAGGATGAGTCCAGCCAGCCTCAAAGAAGTGGAGCTGTAGGGACAGTTTTAATGACACTTGCAAAGGTGTTGAGAGCCACAGCCGAAGGGGCCCCAGCAAACTTCCAGCTGCCAGCAAACTTCCAGCTGCCAGCTGATGATTGGCTCACAGTGGCCCCAGCAACTTCTAGCTGCTAACTGATTGGCTCCTCTACAGTGATGCTCATTGGGCTGTTTCCCCGCCCTTTCAGACCACAGAGCTGCTCATTGTTGGACTATTCTTACTAGGTATCCTGAGGCTGTAGGACAATTAATACTCAAAGGAATAAAAGCAGCAAAGGGAGTGTT